ACTCTGTTTCAGCTAGAGATCTTGCTACTGGCCATTACCTTTACTTTTGACTAAGTTGTTTTCTGAGGCAGTAAATTCCACAGATATGCTACAGAAAATAGCATTTCTACATAAAATTTACAAATTTGCTGCCCTTTAATTTTATTAAATACGATGCTCCTCTAAATGATTGTTACTCTGTGAAAGGTTATATAATTCATTATAGAATGCTACACTTCATTATAGAACACTTGTTGCACTTGCATTTAAAAACTGTTATCACAACATTCTATAGTCATTAGAAACCAATTAGCAATTTAYTCAAGGAATAGAAGCCTAGCCAAGGTGCCCTAACTTACTTTCCATTAAGCTGCAGCTCTCCAGTATTGTGCACTGAAGAAGGCAGGTTTCTTCCTTTTTTCTTCAGCTTGCTACTTTCTAGTGACAGCTGCCCTTTTCTGATGGATTGAACTTTTCTTGTAACTCTCTGTTATTTTTGAAAGACATTTACCACAAAGTGTCAGGGTGTGAGAATGTGAATGGTAAAGTCAGCAGAATTTAGTGAATTGTGTCTACCTCTCCCATTAAGTGACTGAAAGCCTGTGCTTGGTGATGCTCAACCTCTATGTTAATAGATCATATGCCTCTAACATTGTCTTTGAACTATGGTGCCTGTGTAAGGAATGAGATACCTGCAAATGTGCCAGACTATTATCCCTGGGAAAGAAAAAGAAAAATACTAAACAAGTAATGCATGAATATCTCCTGTGGCCTTACCAATGCATCTTCACCTGTGTCTTCTGAAGAACCGRAAGGCACAAAGATCTGTTAAGAAAGACACTTTTATTCCTTAGCCCCTATCTTGCTGTTGATAATAATTGTGATCAGCCGAATACAGAATTAAAAATTCTTATGTTATTTCTAGATGATTACTTGTATCATTGAGAGAAAAGCCTTTGYTGAAATGCTATAGGCATGGTAGCAATTAAGGATTTTAGGCAAAGAAAGCGCTTCCAACAGACTGCATATATGCTGAAGTTACCTTTTTCTCATGAAACTGAGTGGTTACTTTGASAGTACCCAGTGAGGCAAGGTAGTTCCCCCCTTTGCAGATTGGAAAGCTGAAGGATAATGAGCCAAAGTAACGTCCCCACAGTGCCAGAGAGGGTATGTAGGAAATAATAATGAGAAGGAATCCTTATCTTCAAGATCTCTGTGAGAAGATGCATGAATGCTCTGAAATGTGCCAACTTTCTCGCTGTTGAGAATAGTGACATCTAAATGTTGAGATGTGAGCTGTGAAAGGTCTTTTGACTCAGAAAGCAGAATTGTTTCCATAAATGACAATCTGCAGATTCCCGCTGACCCTCCAGCTGACTTAACAGTTGTTACATATGTGCTCAAGTTGTCCTCAGGTTGCAATCACCTGGACTGAAAGTTATATTCAGACCCACACTGGTTGATATGATAGTCTTATTTCAGAACTGTGAATTTAGAAGATGATCCACCTTTTCTGCTGGGATTCCTAGGGTTAGTAGTAAGTATTCTGGGAGAAGTGTTCCACTCAGGCACCAGAAAACTGAACTGTGTASCAGGAGCTGCTCATCCTAGAGAGGTAACCTATAACTTAGCCATTTCCTGTTCACTGGGGGCAACACTACAAAATGTRTTTTGCAGATCTTGTTTTCTGCACACAGTAGGGTGCAAATGGTAACACTCCTTCTGGCCTTGCTGTTGTGTTCTGAGTAAGTCTATTCCTATTTTCCACCCCAGCTTTCTCCAAACAACCTGTTTCTCTGCACATCTCCTGCAGTTGTTTTTCAGGATCAAGCAGTAAGCTCACAGCATCACTGTTCCATTATTAAAGGGAGGTTTTAACATAATTTACCAAATACTTAATGTTATATGATCATATAACGTACATTCCTACCACCTGTGGGTCAGTCCCATAGTGTATGGAATAATCTCACCTGATATTAAGAAAAAAGACCTGAGAGCATCAAACATRGAGTTTAGCAACAGAGATGGACTCAGCTGTCTGCCAATACAGTTTCTCWATGCTTGAAAAGCTCTTGCTGTCTCTGCCCCTCAGCTTCTCTGTTACKTGTATTACTGAGCAATAAAAAGGAGATGAAAAGCTGACCTCTGAAATTTTTAGTCTGAGAAGTCCCAAATGCTCTGTTGTACCAGAATGCAGGTCTGTTTTACAGGACTAATTTGTGCTGATGCTAGCTGGTACAATTGTTATGCAATTGTGCAGGCATTGGGAATTACAGAGTACACTATATTCTAGTTATATCCTTTACCAGGACATGCTGGAATATTCTTGCTGTCTGGAAATTTCTCCATGCCAGGGAAGTTTTGTACTTCTCTGAGTACCCTGATGTCCCTCTGTACCTGGCAGCCTGGCATTTGCTCTTTAGGATTCGCTTGTGCCACAGCTCAGAGAAGTTCTGCTTTTCCAGCTGACTTTCCCAGCTGACAGAAAAATCCCAGAAATGATGAGACATAAATACCATACAGCTGAGGCTTTTTTATCACCATCTATCATAATTAGAGGGATGTCAATTCTTCATTTTGCCCACAGTGGTAAATTTTTACAGCAGTTTTTCACAGTCATCCATACTCATTGTTTGTGCAGATTGCTTTTTATAGATATTGGTGTTCTTTGTAGAAGAGAGAGGGTGTTAAGTCTCATTTCTTTACTTAATTCCAGCTTGGGCAGTTACATTTTGCCTGCCTAATTTCCCAGCTGGGATCTCAGGTGAATATTTGCTTCCATCTTTATACTCCATGAAGCTTTGTTCTCATTAARGCCCTGATGTGCAGTAGACACCACGGGTGTCTACTTTATGGTCACGTGGGGTGAAATGTGGCTTGCAAGCATAAAGAATAATTAGTATGATTTATAAACTAACTGGAAAATTCTGCAAAACTATAAAAGGGAAGATGTTTAATATGCTTAGGGAATGTTAGCAGCTCAGCTACTCTTCTGCCCACCACATGTATTTATCCTATGAGGAAGGAGCTGATGAACTATTTTCACAGAGGCAGATTGTGAGTGTATTTTTTAATGATTCTACTTCAGTTCAGTCACAGCTGAAGGAGCCCTGAGATGGAGTTCTGGATGGGTCCATTGACTGTGGACTATTGTCAGACAAGAACTTTAGAGACTCTGCTTTGGAAGTAAAATGGATAATGGACTTCAATCCACAAAGAACTGATTGTGTTAGTGTTACTCTCCTGCCTTGTCTTACTGACGTCCAAAATTCCTTTCCTGAATGTTACAAATCTTGAGTGAGATCACCTCCCCTGAAGTGTGTTTGGCTGCCCATATATGGAAGGATATTTCTTCTGTGATTCCAACAAATATTTAGGTTGCAAAGCAATAAGCRTTCTCCTGGAAAGAGAAGACAACATGAAATTTTCAAAAGAATGGAAAACAAAGGAATGTAGATTGCTTTATGCTTTTAGCTACTTTAAAGTCTGCAATTTATGTTCATAAATCAATTTAGTGCTCCTGAAAATGTTAACCACCATCTGTTTCTTTAATGATGCTATGTCTGGATCCAAAGATAAGTGTTTATGAAGGGTRAAGAAGGGACTCTGGTATTTTTGATACCATTATGAAAGTGAGATTCTATTAAAGTATTCAGCAACTTTATAAAATTTTGAATTTTGAAAGAGACTTCAAGATAAAATAGTGTTTATATACTAGATGCTTTTAGAAGATATAGAAGCTCTTATTACATGCTAGAATTGAACCTTAGATAGTACAGATTCTGATGCTAAAATAAGTCTCTTTGCTTCATGTGCAGATGCTTGTAGTAATGTGAAATCGATGTCATTCTGTTCACAATCTCAAATTCTCTTAGTATTCAGTTGGGTAGGAATCGCGTTTTGATAAGTGAATCATCCTTCAAGAGAAGGGAAGGAAGTTTGTGAGGAAGCTTTAGAAAACACTTGCCCAGGTCATAATATGGTAGGCCTTGAAAWGATCTGCCTCGAAAGAACAAAGCTACTGCCCTCACTGTGGTAAACTGTGAAGATTCCCAGAGCATTGCCAGGGAAAGATCAGTATTTRCTCCCAGTTCCCACCTGCTCCTCTCTGAGGTACTGATGCTACRCATGGGAAGTAAATGTGATCTGACAATACACCGTGGCAATGCCTACAATAACCTAGCAATATTTTCCCTGGCAGCAGAAGGTCATTTGTGTGAGCAGTTTGGAAGCATGMAGAAGTTTAGAAGTCATGGAATAGACCCTTCATGTTGCTATAAGTAAAATCCAAAAAGTAAGCCACAATTTTGAGCATCCAARGAAGTGCCAATATGATTATATCACACATGATTATATCTTAGGCTGTATTAATCACTGACTGTGAGGAAATAGATGAAAAAAACAATCAAAGAAACACTTGGTATGATTATGTATAAACCAGAGCACAGGCTCTGTTTACAAACCTTTCCATCTGTTCCTTTGCCTAATCATTTCTGCTTTCCCTCTCTGTCTTCTAACTTTCCTTCGTCTTTCCAGATGCAGGACGCTATGGGCTATGAGTTACCGTGGGTGTATTTTGTCAGTCTGGTCATCTTTGGATCCTTTTTCGTTCTAAATCTGGTTCTTGGTGTGTTGAGCGGGTAAGCTGACAGTTTTGGTGTCCTTTTTCCAATGCTACAGGGCAAGACTCCATAATAAGGGTTCTTCCCTGTCACCAGGATACTTTCGGAGGGATTAAAAAACTGAATCCAAGGAAGCTTCACATCAGCTGTGAAATACTTTGACAAAATGTTCAAATATTGCAAATAACCATACAGGTAACAAAAGCGGTATTATTCTCTGACAGAGAAATTCAACCTCAGGGCCTTCACTTCAAAATTGTTTATGTCAACCTGTCATAAATTTCCAGAAAATTGGCTATTGAAGAATGTTACTGCTGGTGACTTGGGATCTCTTTGGCTGGAGCCTTGCAGTGCTCAGAATCTGAGCTTGTCTCACTAATTATCATTCCACTCTTCCAGGTCAATGATGCCATAGGAAGGGACTGGCCCTGGATCTATTTTGTTACACTAATCATCATAGGGTCATTTTTTGTACTTAACTTGGTTCTCGGTGTACTTAGCGGGTAAGCAGTACCAGGAAAATGTTTTATTATTGTTTATTTTTAAAAATTTGTATTTCTATTCCTACTCTCTGGTTCCCAAAACAATGGTCAGTGGCGGGTTGATCTCAAGAACTGTAAGAGAAAGCCTAGGCTATTGCTGTGCCAACAGCAAAACACAGCATTCCTAATATCATGGAATGAGCCTCTTGACTAACTCAGAGGAATATAAGAGAATTTTTGGTCTGTAACATATTTCTCAACCTACCTGTACTCTGTGGGAAGAGGACAGCACTATGGTCCCCTGTGGGCAAAGCAATCCATTCACTATGAAAGGGGATTATAGTAGAATTTCAGGAAGAGTCAGGAGGACAGAAGGAAGAATGGGAACATGAGACAAATCCCTTCCCATCTGTAGGATGAGATTCTTGACAAATTATGTCTTCTCACAGGAGAAATTTTCACATTGTTTAGTATAACAAAAATACAGCCTACCAGGAGACTATTTTCCCTGGAGAGATTCTTGGGTACGTTTCTCCTCCAGTAAACCCATCTTCTCTATTGTGCAGATTACAAGCCTGGCATGATGCAGGGGGAAAAGATCAATTTCCCTCTGACCTTTTCCAAGGATGAACAGAGAAGCAGGAGAAGTCCTTTTAGTGTTTGAGCATTCTTAAGACATCCAGACATTTAGCTGTATTCCAGTTCTGCAGTATCTTGCTGCAAAGCATCATTTTAGTAGCTTTGATTAAAAACAATGGGTATTGTCCCCAGTAGTTATAAACTTATTGCCCCTGGGGAGCCACATAATTAGAGGAATCAAGCCAGCAAACATTCCTTGCAAAATTAAAAAAAAAAAAATCTCTTAGGATTAGGCTTCTAATTCCATATTTGGGCATGACTGGGGGCCTACAACTATTCTATGTACATGGATAAATATGGTATGAAGTCTTTTATGTGTCCTCTTTTCTTTGTTTCTAATATCTTGCCTCCTTTGATGAGTTCCAAATGAGTTTAATTAGGGCCTGTACCTGTTGCCTGAGTAGGCAGCCCTGAAGTCTCCTGTCTTTTTGATCAAAAGAGAGGGAAAATGACTTCTGAGCAGGAGAGAGGACTTGATGCCTCATAAAAATTATGTCCTCGGTACATGGGCCAACAACACTGGAAGGGCAGTAGTGGGATCAGGGAAAAATATCCACCATTAGCTACCTGACAAAGMGACAGGTAATAGAAGTTTGCAGGAGGTATTATTACTATCTTCATTCCTCCATTGAAGGAGACAAGCCACTACGCCAGCTGCTTCAAGGAGAAGGGTTTCCATGCAGTAATGGGAGCGAGGAAAAGTCCCCGGTAATGAAATGTTAGGCAATAGTCTGAGTTTGCATATCTGGAGAGTGATGTTCTGGGTACAATTTTGAAACATCAAAATGCTCCTCATTTCTCYAGGTGGATACTCTGCCCTGCAGGTAAGGATGTCAGCACTAGTGGAGGAGGATGACAGCTGACAGGGAAAGGGATCTGTTCTATCAGAGGTGCACTCAAGGACCATATAGGACAATTGTTACAGATTATATGGTATCTGATTGGATAAAAAGTACCTGTGAGCCCAGCCATGAGGAGTGCTTAGTATTGACACACTGCTGATTAAATTTACTTGCACTTGGATTTGTACCTGTGCAATAATTAACAATTTAATTTCCTGTTCCTTTCATTTTCAACTCAAGAAAGTATTTTCTGCCATACTACAGCTAGACCACTGCAGTTAGTGGTAGGAGATGGAAACAGTCTGTAGAGGGAACTGAAATCAAAGATGAAGTTCACCTTGTTTAGGCTGTGAGTCACTCTTTCTGGCTGTCTTCACAGTGTTATGAAAGCTGCACCGTTTCTGCAAAAATTTCCCCCACTGGAGAAAAATAAAAAGAAACTTAAGAATTTGCATCCATGAAAAAAAAAACCACAGGAATTATGGGAAAAATGTTCCAAATTTTCTTTGGTCTAAATAAGCAGTTCTTAAACAATTAACTTTCTAAAGCAGTTCTAAATTCTGCTGAGTTACAAAGTGTCTTCACTTTGCAGATTCAGCTTTTTATCTCAGAGAATTGCTTTTGCTATTAGTCTGATCTATGTAGATGATCCACCTGTCTGTTCTAGATAAAAAGCAGCATTCTTGGTTATCTTTGAATATCCATTCTGATTTTTTTCCCATTTATCTATATCAGGGCCTCCAGCAGGCATGTTGTGTAGGTGGACTTTGCAAATGACAGATTCGTTTAGGGGGGTTTTAAATCACTTCTGAATACATTAGTGTAATTAATTGTACTCACAAAGACACCTTGATTGCACCTGCAGAATGAAATGCTGAATTCTGCTGAAAGAGCTCTTTTGCAATTAGTTTTTTCTCAGGTATGTCATCCATTCATGGTCCTGGTGAATTTAGCGATCACATACTAGGCTAAACAGCATGTCAGAACATTTATATGTAAAGCTGTAATCTCTTCCTGACTTGGCTGAGCACAATATAAAATTCATGTACTCCAAAGGAATATCCAGTCAGCAGATCACACAGTAGACCTCTCCAAGCCCAGGCAAAACACTTCCACATCATTGCTGTGAGCAGTGATTAGAAGTAGCTTGAGATCAGAGATGTTCACATCTATGTTACCTGTTTCAGTTAATTAGTGAGGGGAAAAAAATGGCASTGTGTGTTCAACCTTGAGACATCCACACCTAAGTATACAGAGTCACATTTGCTTTATATTTTCRTCCAAATCCCAGGACACAGGCCAAACAAGCAGTTGCCTAAGGCAAATGGAGGGCAGAAGAACAGATATTTCTTCTGCTTTGAGAGGATTCTGCAAAACACAGGCAGCTGCTTTTGATGCTTTTACTGCCAAGAAAGAGGTCAGAGCGAATAGGAGGCTGCCWGTGGTTGTAGCTCCTCCTTGAGCAGTTTTTGTGACCTTTCAAGTATTTTCCCTAGCCKTCTGTCCTCTCTTCCAACACTTCCCATTCCTTGGTGTGCTTCTCAGGGTGGATGAGATATGGAGCCTTGTGCTCCACTTGGAGTAGTAAGGAAGAGTTTTGAACTGTTAGAATTCTGCTGTTTTGCTCACTTTCCATCTCACCTTTAAATGTGAGAAATCATATCAGCAAGAATAACCTAAATTCTATCATCAGGATGAGAAAGAGAAATTTTCTTTTGAAAGAGCRCATGATGCGGAGCTGGGTGTTTATGACTTTGACCCACTCTAACCTCATGCAGAGAAAATATCTCTYTAGAATACTCTGCTCTTTGGTATTCCCATTGGCAGTCATTTCTATAATTTTCTGGGAGAAGTAAAGCTAAGTGAAACAAACTGAATTGTGGTAAAAACCATCAGATTCACTCACTGTTACACTGATGGTTTTGGGTTCACTGAAAAGGGACAGATTGCTTGCTAGTTYTGCAAGCCTTTGTTGACCTTATCCTGCCATGACAGTGCAGTCTTTTTTTGAGAAGACTACCTCTAGACTCAAGATGGGACTTCCATCAGAAAGCTTATTTGGTCCTTGGCCTCCCTGCTGGAGCTGCAAACAGTGACCATTTATTGCCAGCTGTGCTGGAGGCAGCAGTAATGTGTGCACCTGCCTGCAATATGCCCTGGGCTGAGGCCACCAGCTYCTTTCCCATGGGATAGAAAATGACCACTGATAGTGATTCTTGACTGAACTACATTTKCCCAAGTACGGGCTGCCATTCCACGTGGGAGGTGGTTTGAATTGCAGCAGCAATTTCCTGAGCCACCTGTTCTCAATGGTTTCATGTTAGTAGAGCATAGAAATTCAGACAATTTAAACCAGTTGTCTTCTTTGGAGAGTCATCTGAGATGTGGAGTATCATGTGTTTGGAATTGCAGGTCATTTACAAGAGGCAATCACAGTGTTTTCCATTGTGCTATAAAACTCTAGGTTCTGCCCATTTCAAAATTGGACCCATTTGTTTTACATTCTAAAATAAAACTTTATGAGCTAAAAATTGAAATACTGGAATTTGATTTATCAAACAGGCTTAATAATATATAGATTCATTCAGTTATTATTTGTTTGGAGTTAATTCATTAATTTAGATAAGGCACTGTAGCATACCCAGGGGAAAGGTGTTACTGAAGCACAAAATTGAGCTACCATTGATGGATTTTTTCCTAACATTCTTTGTACATTTTTYATTATTATTGTTGGGGTTGTTTGTGCCTTTTACATTGTAAATAGTAAAATATCACTCCCAGTATAAAAAAATTTCATTTTTCATTTTTTCCATGCCTTGAGGCTGAGTTTGGCCCCCGAGCTGACTRTGAACTTCAGGCCAGAAAAGCCAATGGTTCTCTTCCTCATTTCCACCTTCATTATCACACTTCATGGGAGGGGCTGAACCCTCAGCAATGTGACAGGGGTGCAGATCACACTGACATACTTTGTCATATATTTTGGCTGGAAATTAAGGGATCATCCTGCTTTGATCCTGCTGCAGTGCTGGTTTCATGCAYAGCTCTTAATACGGAAAACCTGATCCAAAACCTTTGAAGTTCATGGAARTCTTTCAGTGGATTTTGGTCCAGGCAGGAGGAAAGTACCTCACCATCACTGTTAAAAACCCACCTCCATCTCAGTTACTCGAGTAGCAGTCACATGGCACTCATTAACATTTTGGGTAGGATTGTCACTATCCTAGTATTATGCCACCAAAGTTAGTGGTAGGTTTCTTACATACTTTTGCAGGAGCAAACCTAAAACAAATTCTAAACAGGGAGTAGCATTTTTTAAAATCCATTCATTGCTGACGGTCTTCAGTAAGAGTAATGGATAATTCATTGAGGAGAATGGCTTTACCTCTCTTTTCTAGAAAGAGTGGACTGTATTATCTGCTGTGTGTGTCTTGTGTAGTGGTCTGCTTCAGCAGATCTAAGACTTAATGCTTAAGTACTCTTGGTCCAGCAATTTTCACAATCATTAAGCTTACTTTTTAAAATACAAGCGCTAAAACCTGGTTTAGAATCACATGAGTCTCTAAATAAGGGAGGTCAGCATTTCTTGAAAAAAAATATTGCTGTGTAGGTGTCTGAAAGAGGAGAAGAAACAGCACTGAGCCAAAAAGAAGGCAAAGCCAAGCATCCMGAAATTCTTGGAAAAACAGGAAATTCTTGTTCTTAGGCCCTGTTTTAAGTCTATATTCYCAAGAGCATTCTTTCATAAAACTCTCATCAAATGTCTTACCCTGTTCACTTTCTGGCAGAATCTATAAGTTTTGTCTACCCATAATTTATCATCCACCCAATGTGAGATTTGAAAACCACATTTCATGTCAGACAACAGCCTTGAATGCTGAAAGTCTTCAGTGAAACTTTGAGGTCTGAGTTTCTAATTGTATTTTCCTGTACTGTGGGTGAAATGGTCCATGATTAAATGTGTACAGAATTGTGAGTACCATTAATTACACTTAAACTAGCCCAATTTAATTGTGTTTATATATCTAATCTTAAACACAGATTGAAACCTGSCTAAGAATTAGAGTCACCATCTCACTCTCCAGATGTCAGATTATTGTCAAACAGTTCATYGTTAACCATTATTCATATAGACATTTGTGGATAGCTGTTGGAGAATATCAGTTGTTACAGAATGTTMGAAAATGTCTGGTATTGTACATTAAATTGTACATAAATGTTACATATGTGTTTTATTTGAATTTTCAATCAAATGTTGAGAATAAAAGTWTTAAAAAAGGTATTAAACTTTTCCAAAGTATTGATAGAAATGTGGGCACTCCAGCAGTTTTACATGTGTGTGTAGCAAAGATGTTCCCTATGTGTTTTTGTATTGAAAAAATAGAGACAGCTGGGTGTGCTGTACAGACTGAGGAGACTTTCTAGTGGAAATCAATCTAACCCATTGTTTTTCCATCTCTTCCTTCTTCCCACCCTTGTCCTGTCCCTCCCTCCCTCTTGCTAGGGAGTTTTCCAAAGAAAGAGAAAAGGCTAAGGCTCGAGGTGATTTCCAGAAGCTACGGGAAAAACAACAGCTAGAGGAGGATTTGAAAGGTTACTTAGATTGGATAACTCAAGCAGAAGATATTGATCCAGAAAATGAAGATGAAGGCATGGATGAGGAGAAGCCTCGAAACAGTAAGCAACTTTCTTCTCTCTCTTTTTCTTTCTCTCTCTCCTTGTCTGTCTCCCTCTGTGCTTTTAGCAAAAAGCCTGTGCCCATCTGCTGTAGTGCTGAGGTGGCTTAYAATGAAGAACAAGTTCTTCCTGAGATATGCACTATGCTTATACATGATTCCAATTTAATGCTTGTAAGAAACCATGGGAAGCAGAAATATTTGTACAATAACTGATATCCTGCAGATCCTCAGTGTTTTGTCTGTGATACTGGCATAAGATCCTGATATTAAACAGAAAATAAGGTCAATATTTGGTGTTAAAATCCACTACTGACAAAAGTTTTAAAATACAAGTGTCTGCTATTCATTTATTTAGTTGTAGGTTGGTGTAGCAGGCTGTTTACACATGGTTGGTTCCTTTGAAAGCAAGGGTTTCTTAGGGAAAGCGGTGCTACAGTATGGGAGAAGGGCCAAATCAACTCTGTTGTACATTAAGTGGGCCCATTGGTAACTCCATTGAAATCAGTGGATTTGTGTTTGCCTTTGCCAGGCTGGATTAAGCTCTCAGACATTTCTTCTAAGGGTGTCTTGTTGCTCTTTTCATGTGGAGTTGACAAGATGTTTATACAAAGAAAATTCACCAACAAACACTTATTAGAAATCCTGAAGGAGAGGGGGCCTGAAAAAAGCAGTGCTTCCCAACATTTCATTTCCTTTATTGAATCTTCTACCACCTTCTCATTTACCATCACAGGCTGTGTAACACTTCAAAAACACTTAGCAGTTTTCACTGCTGGTTGTGCACTTGGGAAATAGCAGACTTGGAATCTTTAGATARTCAGTGGACACTGGCTGTATTCTTGGCTTTCCTGATGGGAATGTGCATTGTCTTCATTTGATTTTGGAAGATAAGAAATGAAACATTGCCTTAGATATCATYCTTCCTACCAAACAATCAAAATCTATGGGATGATCCAGTCAGAAACATATATTCCAGTATTAGAAAGATTGTACATGGGAAAGTTGTGCCTTTCCTCTTCAGCAAGATTTTTAACAGATGTTCATGACATTTAGGGGATTAGTAAGCGCTATTGCTGCCAGAACAATGAAGATCTTTTAGGGAAAAAAAAAGGATCATTAACATCAGGTTATACCCATAATACTTAGGTATCTGGATTTGAAGGAGTCACTGTGGTGACTTGCTTAGATATTTCCCAAATCAGGTTATTTTGATTTTTATGCTGGTGTTTTCATGTAGCTTACTTTTCCAATTTAGCCTCAGTAACCATTCAGAAATAAWTTTTTTAATCATGGCCAAAATTTGCTGCTCTGTGGCAGACAATACATTAATAAATCTGATGTGAATTCATTGCACATGCTGTTGAGTGTGATCAATCCATATTTGAGCTAACAAGCTCCTTTTATGGATGGTGATATTAAGAACTGAAATATAACGTATCTTCAGCTTGCTTTCAGTTCTTCCTGTTCAATTTGATAATGTGAGTTTTGTAAGATGTGGTTTATCAAAACTAGTCCTCTCACATCTGAGTCAGAAAAACTGAGAAATAGAGACCCTTTCTTTAATGGTTTCAGCTGAAGATAATACCACAGAAAAGGTCCTGTAAGTGACAAGGCATTTTATTTGGGGTGAGGTTTATTTTTGGTGTGTTATCTCCTGTGTTGAATGTTTTGGCGTTCATGCCAGCAGTCAGTCACCAGTAGGGTTAAATTAAGGGAGAAAGATGGTATTAATTCTGCTCCAAAAACCATGTACAAAATAAACTCCAATGTAAGGGACAGATGGCATAGTTGTAAATTCCCTCAGGAATCCCTTTGGCTTGAGTGTTCCGAAGACACTCAAATCCCAMCTACTACCAGTCCAAGCTTACATCACCAAGACTCCAATGCCTTCCTCGTTTTCTTGTGCTTAGCTCAGCTGCCTCATATGCACCTTCAGTGTCTTTCATTCAAGTGCTCTTCAAAGATCATCATTTTCTGTTTCTGGTACAGCATCCTGAGCTCCACAGCTGAATGTTACTTTGTTCAGTGACTAATTAATGTTGACTTTTAAGGTATGGGCCCTGAGACTTTAAGATAAAGATTCACTGAAGTGCACAGAGCAAATCAGGCCTCCTTAAGCTGCTGTGTTAGCTCATTAAGCTTCAGGTGTGGCCTTTGCATCAGTTGTGTTGTACTGCTGCTCAGGAGACACTCGCTGCTGCCTGACCTCTGAGTTATTCACACTGATACTTTAAAGAAGTCACAACAGCTTTTGTTTGCTTCTTTGGTTTTCCCTTGGAAGCTTTTTGGAGGCTTGGGTTGGTTTGTTGTTTTGKTTTTTTTTAATAAAGAGTATCAGAATAGTTCAGAAGTTCGAATAAAATATACTCACTAAACTAGAGACTCAGCTAATGTAAGTTCTGAGATTCAGCAGTTTACRCCATCTGGGCTCTGACCCAGGTAGTCTACCTAAACTGAATCAATTCAAACACACAGAACATATGTTTCCAGTCTCTTCTCTGTCCTTGGCAGCTACAGGGGCAGGATTTTCTGTCTTACTTTGTAGAGAGTCCTGCCTGCTTGTCAGCATGGAAACTGCCTCCTGTAAAGCAGAGGACACAGGGTAGAAGGGAAGAGAAACTCACTTGCATCCCCTTTCAGTTTGACTGCCTGTGACAGTCCTTAGGGCTTCAYTGGTCATGTTTTGCATATGCTGCTGCTTTTCTGGGGCTCTCAAACCTTGCCCAAAATCTTACTGGGTGTTTACAGCCCTTAAGGAAATTATCAAGTCCAAGGATACTAGGGTAAGGACTTTAATGAAGGAAAGGGTGAAAAAGGAAGATGAATGCAGCTGGAGTTTGATAACCTGTGCAGCTGTTAGCTGTTCTCTCCAGAGCAGAGGTCTCAACATTCTGCTGAGGGAGTTCATCATCAGTGGCTGGCCACATGGGTTGATGGACGTTCACAGTACAGGCTGAGTTGATTCCCTGTGTTTTGAGGAAGTACCATGGTTAAGGCAGTTTTTCCATGTTGTTTGCAAACATGGTTTTGCCATTGTAACAGATGTGAGGTGGGAAATGTGAAAAGGCTTCTGGGGGCTGTTTTTGTTGGTTTTGTTCTGTGCCCTTTCCCTGACGCGCCTTCCACATGGGAAGAAATCATTAATTTTACTGAGGAGAGAACATGTCATGTCACAGAACAGCTACTGAATTCAAAATTACATGATAGCAAAGTGAACTGTCCCTCCTGTTGCCACAGTTACTGTGAATTTGCCCTTTTATTTTCCCTTCCTGAGAGTGGTCTGGAATGCATCTGTTGCTGTGGGCAGAAGCAAGAAACCTCAATCCAACCCACATTCTCCTCCTATTGAAATTAATTGGCAAAACTCCCACTGATTGCAGTGGGGTCACAAATATTCTGTGAATGGGCAGGGAGAAGTAATTTGATGTTTCTGAGTGCTCTGGTTTTGTCCTCCCTCTGTTTCCTTCTGTTTCAGTTCTATTTGGTACTGCCATGAGCAGTGAGARTATGACCTCACTCATGTCCACAGAGCCCCTAAAAGTAACAGAGCCCACCGCTTTGTAAAGGCATTCCATGATTGAAGACAATTAATTCTTCTAGTTAAGTCATATCCAATATAGATTCAAGAACTGATTTGCAAGTAGCYTACCTTACTAAAATTTAAAGTCTTATCATTCTTCAAGGCCCTGTTATAATGGAACTGATGGCTGTAGATAATTAAGTTTTCGCATAACGCAGCAGTAAAAAGGCAGTACAAATCAATGTGTTGCCTATCAAAATTGTATAATATTTCAGATGGTATGTTAAATAATGAAAGGTGTGTCTGTACATACAGATTTATGCCTCAGTTAAAGTGGGAATAGTGCACAATTGATGACAAAAAATAAAGAAACACAGGCAGATTCTAAAATATATATAAAAAATTAATCAGATGGAAAAGACATAGTCTTCTATCTTCACCTTCAGAGCATTTCTGTAGTGCCTTAGTGACCTTTGGAAATATTCATTAACATCTGAGTTCACTGCCTCTAAGGAATCAATGGCAACCTAACTTTTTGTGGACTACAGATTTTGTGTTACTCTTAAAACCACCATTACTTGTGAACATCACCATGAGTAGGAAGTAGACCGCATCTAATCACAGGTTTGTGGGAGTCTTCCCTAGAAAAAAAATCTTTTGAGATAGGGAAGAAGTTTTCAGAAGCAAAAGCAAAATTTGAGAAGAAATTGTTACTTCTTGGACCATTAGAGCTTTTGGAAAATCTGTGTCTTTCATGGAAGCACTTTGTGCTTCTGCACATTGGTCCATGAATGAGAACCAGAGAAGATGGTGCTTTGAACAGGAGAAGAAAAGAGTTTTACAACTCTAGAAACAGAAGCCTCAGAAATTTCAACCCAAACAGAGTTCTAATAGTAGCTCTATTGCATACCAAGGATAAGAGCATAACCATCTTTCTCTAAAGGCCCAGGCATTTTAGATTTATCTATCCATTTCCTGTTGACTTGACTTCCTTTTGCACAATCAATTTATGTCCTACAAGGAGACTGTGCTGGTTTCAGTGAGGTTATGTGCCAGATACCCACCATTGACTTGAATGAAAGCTGTCACTAAATCCTTTGCAACCCTTTGGGAAAGTTAGTGATTTTGAGTTGTTGGATGGAGAGCGTCTTGTGTACAGCTCTAATCATAATAGCAAGATAAAAGAGCAGCAACTTCAATTTGTACATTTAGTAATTTCTTACGTCAGCCTGCTCAGTGACCTCTGAACCATGTGCTTAGAATGTACTGACAAGCAAATGGCCTTTTATTTCAGCCTGAAATAAAATATCGTGGTGCTGTGGGATAATRTCTAAGGTAAGGAAGTATATAACAGGATTTTCAAAGACTTTGTTACAGGCTAAAACTTCAGGATGACCTAAAAATCTCTTGGTCCATCTTCTGCAATGAAATTTCATGGGCAAGTGCATAGCTGGGGAATTTACATGCAGAGGGGAAAA